GTCGCAAGATCGCACCGCATCGGACCCCCTCTGCTCCGACCCCACCCGAGAGGCCCAGCGGCACTGCGAGGGCCTCCTCTCAAGAAAGGGGTGGAGCACCGAGAGCGGCCGCGCAGCGCGGGCGGGGCCTGCTGCCCCGGCCGACGAGAGCCCGCACGGCGGCGCGCACGGCGGCGCGCTGCCGGGCCGTGTGCGACAGCAGGCGAAGTCGAGAACGGGGGGAGGCTCGGCCCCAGACTACGACCCAAGAAGTGGGAGGCACACACGCACACGCACAAGCACACACGTGTACACACACACACACACACACACACACACACACTTTTGGGCGGTCGCGGCCTGGCGCGCAGCGTCGAGGCGGGGAATGGTCGGATGCGGTGCGCGCGCGCGGGCGGGCCCTCTGGAGAATCTCCGCATCTTCCAACACACGCACACAGACACACACGTGGGCGGGCCCTCTGGAGAATCTCCGCATCTTCCAACACACGCACACAGACACACACGTGGACAAACAAACCAAAACTCTCACACACACACACACACACACACACACACACACACACACACACACACACACACACACACACACGCTCTCTTTCCCTCTCTCTCTCTCTCTCTCTCCCTCTCTCTCTCTCTCTCTTTCTCCCCCTCTGTCTCACCGCACACAAACACACACGCGCGCACACACACAAACAAACAAAATCACCACGCACACAAATACCAAGATTTATACATATACATATATATATATATACATGTACTAGAACCATCGCGCGCGCTTCGCGCGCGCTCAAGTTCTAGCCAGGCTGGATGGCCGAACTCTTAGGGCTTCCTGTTGGGCTTCCGGGGGCCCAGGGCTGGAAATGTTCGTTCGGCCCCTGCCTGGACCGCTGGGCTCTTGGGGGCCTCTTTCCAGCCTCCCAAATGCTGCTTGAGGCCGATTGGGGGCCTCTTGGGGGCCTCTTGGGCTCTCTCGGGGACTTCTTGGGGCCTCCTCGGAGCATCCTGGACTGCCTCTTGAAATCGTCATGGGACCTTCTTGGCATGTCTTCGGGGGCCATTTAGAAAGAGTTTTGAAGCCTTTTGGGTGCCGTGTTGGGGCCTCGTGGAAACTCTTTTGGGCTTGGGGCCTCTTGGGGCCTCGTGGGGGCCTCTTGGGGCTTCCCGGGGGCCTCTTGGGGCCTCTTGGGGTTCCCTCTTTGGGGCCCCTCTTGGGGCCTTCTTGGGACCCTCTTGCGCCGTCTTGGGCGGCTCTGGGGCCGTCTCGGGGCTCTCTGAGGCCGTCTTGGGGCCTTCTTGGGGGCCTCGTGGGGCCTCTTGGGGGCCTCTTGGGGCCTCTTGGGGGCTTCCCGGGGGCCTCTTGGGGCCGCTTGGCGGCATCTTGGGGCGGAGAGCTTCATTTTTCAGTTCGCGTTCCCTCTCTTGGGCCCCTTTGGGGCCTTCTTGGGACCCTCTTGCGCCGTCTTGTGCGGCTCTGGGGCCGTCTCGGGGCTCTCTTGGGCCGTCTTGGGGCCCGCTTGGAAGCCTCTTGGGCCGTCTGGGAGCGGTCTTGGGAGCCTCTTAGGCGGTGCTGTAGCACCGGAACCCCGAAACACCGAAAATACAAAAAAACATAGGAAACAAATGAAAATCAACGATTTGGCCCTCTCGGGGCGCTCTTGGGCGGCATCTGAAAGGCCTCTCGGGGCGTTTTGGGGGCCTCCGGGGCAGTTTAAAACGCATCGTGCGGCCTCTTGGGGGCCTCGTGGGGCCTCGTGGGGGCTTCCTGGGGGCCTCTTGGCGGCATCTTGGGGCGGAGAGCTTCATTTTTCAGTTCGCGTTCCCACTCTTGGGCCCCTTTTGGGGCCTTCTTGGGACCCTCTTGCGCCGTCTTGGGCGGCTCTAGGGCCGTCTCGGGGCTCTCTTGGGCCGTCTTGGGGCCCTCTTGGGGGCCTCTTGGGCCGTCTTGGAACGGTTTGGGGAGCTTCTTGGGCGGTGCTTTAGCGCCGGAAACACGAAACAGCGAGAATGCAGAAAAAAACATTGCAAAACAAATGAATATCAACGATTTGGCCCTCTCGGGGCGCTCTTGGGCGGCATCCTAAAGGCCTCTTGGGGCATCTTGGGGTCCTCCGGGGCAGTTTAAACGCGTCGTGCGGCCTCTTGGGGGCCTCGTGGGGCCTCTTGGGGGCTTCCTGGGGGCCTCTTGGGGCCTCTTGGCGGCATCTTGGGGCGGCGAGCTTAATTTTTCAGTTCGCGTTCCCTCTCGTGGGCCCCTCTTGGGGCATTCTTGGGACCCTCTTGCGCCGTCTTGGGCGGATCTGGGACCGTCTCAAGGCTCTCTTGGGCCGTCTTGGGGCCCTCTTGGGGGCCTCTTGGGCCGTCTTGGAGCGGTTTTGGGAGCCTCTTGGGCGGTGCTTTAGCGCCGGAAACACGAAACAGCGAGAATGCAAACAACAGTGAAAACAGTCAAATGAAAATCCACGATTTGGCCCTCTCGGGGCGCTCTTGGGCGGCACCTCAAAGGCCTCCCGGGGCGTCTTGGGGGCCTCCGGGGCAGTTCAAAACGCATCGTGCGTCGCCAGAGACCCCTGGACGGCGTCTTGAGGGTGTCTCGAGACCGTCTAGGGCCGCCGGGATTGCTGTCCGATTTTGGGCCCTCCTGAGGCCAGCCGGCGCGCCGGGCCCCACATGTGCGGTCGTGGTCCCGGCCCCCGGCCCCTGGACCCGGTCCCCCATTATATGTATAGGACTACCTACCAGGCCTCCCCAACCCAACCCGAAGACCCAGATTTCGGGTTGGGGGGGGTATGGGTTCCATACGTGTTTTTTCAATGTTCCCCGACCCCCCCCCAACTGGAAGTGGAGGGCAAATGGAGGCCTTCGGGTTGGGTTGGGGTGGTTTGGTGGGTGGTGAGTATATACACACGATGCTCCTGAGCCCAGGATCGGCCGGCCAGGAGCGGTGCAGAAAGGTGCTGGTCGTGCCCTACGAGGACAGGGGGACAGAAGGGGAAACGGAGGAGGACGGGGAGGAGCGGGAGGAGAGGAGGGCAAGGGCGGAAGCGAGCGTTCTGCCCCACGCTCCTGATCTGGTAGGCTAGAATATGTGGATAAACAAGAGTGATTCCGCAAGCTGGAGGGTGCGCGAGTCCGCTCGCAGCAGCTTAGCCGGAATCCGTGTTGAGCCGAGATGGCTCTGAAAGCAGCGAGCTTCGAAGAACCCCCCCACACACACACACACACGCGACAACGACAACAACGACGACGACGACAACAACAACAATAACAACAACAACAACAACAACAACAACAACAACAACAACACCAGCAGCAGCAACAACAACAACAGCAGCAACAACAAGAACAACAAAAACAACAACAACCACAACAACAACCACAGCAGCAGCAACAGCAACAACAACAACAACAACGACAACAACAATAACAATCATTTTAAGACTGTTCGCCCTTATATGCTCGAGTGTCCAATAACGCGTATTTCCCAAACCCTCGATACCCGCCCTCTTCGTCTTCGATCGAACCCCTTTTGGGGGGTATACCTTTCTTCCCTGCAGGCCGGGCCCCGGCAAGCGGCGGGGCGGCCGCGGACCGTCGGCCTGGCCAGCGGCAGCGCTGATCGGCGGGGCGGCCGCGGACCGTCGACCCGACCCCAAGAGGGACGGACAAGGACGACCGACGACGACGACGACGACGACGACGACGTCGAAGACGACGGCGACGACGACGACGACGACGGCGACGACGAGCGAAAGCGAGAGCGAGAGAGAACGACAGCAGGGCCACGAAGGGCACGAAGTAGGCCACGAAGGGCGACAGCGGGGACACGAAGGGAATGCGTATGGGGCCACGAAGAGTGCGAACGAGCGGGGGCCACGAAGTGCAGATAATGCGGGGCCACAGAAGGCAACTATGGGGCCACTGAGGGTAGCAACTGGGCCACGTAGGACAATGAGGGGGACACAAATGGCGACAGCGGGGCCACGAAGGGCATGCACATGGGGCCACAACGGGCGCGACTCATGGGTGCCTGGGTGTCGGGAGCGCGGCGCTTGGGCAAATCGCAAGAAATTCCAACGCAAGGCTATTCTTCAGTAAGTTGCAAGCAAGTCTCCAGCGAGAGCGCGACTCCAGAGCTCCAGGAGAGCGATTCCTGAATAAATTGTAAGGAAGTCCCAAGCGAGAGCGCGATTCCTGAATAAAATGCGAGGAAGTCTCGGGCGGGAGCGGGGGTCCTGCCTAAATTGTGAGGAAGTCTCAGGCGGGAGCCGTTGTTGTTGTAATCCGGGGGGGCAACAACGCAGTTTGAGGATCAAGACTTTCCCTGTCAAAAAACAGGGTGCGAGCGTCGAGGGGCGCACATTGACTGAGAAAAAACAGTGTGCACCGGTGGGGGGGGGATCAACGATAATTATTCTTCAGAAATGAGAATTCAACAACAACAACAACAACAACAACAACAACAACAACAACAACAACAGACAACAACAGACAACAACAGACAACAGACAACACCAACAACAACAACAACAACAACAACAACAACAACAACAACAACAACAACAAAAAGCAGCCGCGGACACCAGATGGCCCGCGCGTCATGTCTCCGGTCGGCTCTGGGGGCGCCGCGTGGGGGCCGACCTCCAAAAAAACGTCCGTCCTGCTCACGTCGTTCCTTGCTCTTCGAGGGAGGGCGTCACCTGGCTGACTGCCTGCCAGACCACCCCAGCCCGACCCGAAGGCCCGAATATTTCGGGCTGAGGGGGGCCGAGGGCATAATCTGAGCCTTCGGGTTGGGTTGGGGTGGTTTGGTGGGTGGTGACTGGCGGTGCGCCCCAACGGGTGGGGCGAGGAGCTCCCCATCGCTCGGACGTCCATTCCCTGTGTTTTTTTGGTTTCGTGCGTGGTTTTTTCGCCAAATGATCAAGGATGCTCCTCGATGGTCCTCGCCGAAGGAAAAATGCACACGTCCGAGCGAAGCCAAGGGAGGGGGGGCGCCCTCAGAAGGCCAGGGCCTCTAAGGAGCCGTCCTGCCTCCTGGGCAGGATCACGGGAAGTCTCCGGCGCCTCTGCGTATCGTAGGAGACCCCCAGCCCTGACAGAAGGCCGCCCCCCCCGCGCCACGCCCTTGTGAGTACCACCACGTCTTTCACGAATCCGTTTGAAGGGGCCCTGGGACACACGAATAAATACACACAAATAACAGGATTCCCCATAGTTCCCCATATTTTCTGGGTTGTTGTCTTCCCCCCCCCTTCCCATATCTTCCCATGTTTTCTGGGGGATCGACGATTCATTGTGTCTGTGTGTTTTCTCCCCTCCTGATCCGTTGTCTGTGGACACCTTCCGCGCCCTCGGACCGTTCAAAAACGCGGCCCGTGACGGGGAGACGAGTCCCCGTGGCGGGATCCGCCAGCGACAGGCGGTCACATGCCCGCAGGGCCTCCACCCGCCCTCGAGTGTCCTCCGTCCCGTCGTCCCTCAAACATTGGCGGCCCTAGAACCACTGGCGACGAGGAGACTCCTCCTCCTCCTCCTCCTCCTTCTCCTCCTCGAGCCTTCGTCCTCTAACCTCGAGCCCCGACCTCTCCAGGATGAGCCTTCCCCGCGCGCCGCGCGCGCACAGGCCGAGGCCGCAGGAGGGCTCGGCACAGGAGCTCGGGGCTCGAGGCTCGCGGCTCGAGGCTCGAGGATCGATGCTCGAGGCACGAAGCTCGAGGTCCGAGGATCTAGAGGAACAAACAACTGCATAAAAGTAAAACGTTTGGAGGTCAGCGCGGCTTTCTTGGATCTGCGATGGACCACTTCGAGGCACGAAGCTCGAGGTCCGAGGATCTGGAGGAACAAACATCTGCACAAAAGCAAAACGTGTGGAGGTCTGCGCGGATTTCTTGGATCTGCGATGGACCATTCTCCCCGGCGCGCGGAGCGCGCCAGGGGCGGCCCGGCGCGGATCCAAGATATATCCGCGCGGAGCCACAAAAGTGTGTGTGTGTTTATGCTTTGTGCTTCCGAGGATCGCGGCCCGAGAATTACACGTCGGTCGGAAGAAGTAGGCAAAACATGAAGTAGGAAGGCGGATAAAGCGGATTGGGTCCAGGCCCTCCCAGAGAAAAACAAAACACAGCAACAGCAAGCCGATTCTTGAAGTAGGAAGGCGCTTGAAGTAGATTGGGATGTGGGAGTCCAAAAATACCTACTTTCAACGACCGGCGTGTAAGGCTCGAGATGTTCCCCGTGCCGAAACCTTCACGCGCGCCGCGCGCTCGGCAGCAGCAGAGGCTGGCGCGCGGGGCCCTGCTCGGACGGCGACGGCGCGCTGGAGCCCTCGGGCGCGGTCCGCGTGCTGGCGACGGCCTGCGCCGCCAGGGGATCTGGCGCCGACCTGGGCTGGCGGCTCCTGCTCGTCCTCTTCCTCATCATCCTCCGCGTCGTCTATGTCGTCATTCTCATCATCATAACCCCCACCACCACCACCACCACCACCACCACCACCACCACCACCACCACCACCACCACCACCACCACCACCACCACCACCACCACCACCACCACCATCCATCATCATCATCATCATCATCATCATCATCATCATCATCAGCATCATCATCATCATCAGCATCATCATCATCATCATCATCATCATCATCATCATCATCATCATCATCACCATCATCATCATCATCATCACCACCACCACCACCACCACCACCATCATCATCATCATCAGCATCATCACCATAATCATAATCATAATCATCATCATCATCAACATCATCATCATCCTCAGCATCATCATCAGCATCATCATCATCATCAACATCATCATCATCATCGTCATCATCATCATCAGCATCATCATCATGATCATAATCACCACCATCATCATCATCATCACCATCATCATCATCATCATCATCAGCATCATCATCATCAGCAGCAGCAGCAGCAAAAGCAGCAGCATCATCATCATCATCAACATCATCATCATCGTCATCACCATCATCATCATCAGCAGCAGCAGCATAATCATCAGCATCATAATCATCATCATGACCCTAACTACTCTCTTTCCAGACCACTGCTTGCGGTGAACAGGTGAGCATCTTCAAACCAATTCTGCCCCAGCTTTTTGGGGGTGGGCGGGTTGTGGGTGAACCAAAAAGACTGCAGAGCGGAAAACGGATGACGAGGTCAGGTCATTTCCGTGGGGCACAAACATGACCCTGACTACTCTCTTTCCAGACCACTGCTTGCGGTAAACAGGTGAGCATCTTCAAACCAATTCTGCCCATATACAGAGCCCCCGCATACAGCACTGGAGTGGCGAATTTATTCGACGAAATTTTACAAGTTAGGTATTGCAGCAGGAAAACCCCCCGAGGCCCCAAGATTAGAAGAGGAAGGACAGGGAGGGAGGAAGAGAGGAGAAGGCTGGCCACAGTTCGTGCACACGCAAGAGGCTGAGGGACGAGGCGATAGCCTTGGCTAGCACGAAGCACAGCTTCTCGGGGTAAACCTGCTTCTGGCGCGTCAAGAATCCCCCCCATCCCGTGGGCCCGTCCAACTGATAATGTGGTTTTCCCGAAAAGCTGCAGGCGCCACGGCCCTTACATTTTGCATCTTCCAGCGCCGAGCACTTAACGTTGAACAGGTTGAGACGAGTACGAGCTCTCCAAGGCGTGCCGAACGCGCAATAATCAACAATATATGTCGTGCACTCGGGACGTCTCATCATGGCCGGCCGACGGCGGCCAAGCCACAAGAAGCTCTGGGAGGGGATCTCCCCCCCACACGGCAAGCCTCGCTGGATACATGCCTCCAGCAGCACGCCGGACCGATGAGCCAGCACGTTACCTTCGGCAACTGTCCGCTGATCACGCACATCCAGATTGGGAAGACCTGCAGGGTATTCAGGACTGCGCAGCCTATGAGGGAGTCGTGACCACTGTGGCGCCCGTCGGGCCATCGTGAACGATTGACATGGGGTACCTGACCACATTCCCACAACCAGCCCCGATCGAATCCATCCAAGAAGGGTGTTGAACGCATTGTCATTCAGCAGGTCGCGCGACGGCCCGTGGCAGATATCGACGCAGACGACTGCGATATTCCGGTCCGCCAAAGCAGCCGCCAGCCCTCCTGCCCCCGAGAACAGGTCTAGAAAGATCCTCGGACCGAGGGGCTGCGGCTGCGCAAGAGCTCGGCGCAGCGCTCGGCGAAGGGCGCGAGGCCGCGGTCTACCAGCGCCGCGATCTGACCCCTCACCGTCGCGGGGAGCTTGCCGAGCTGCAAGGACACCCGCGCGTGCTTGTCGTAGCGAGCGACGCTCCGAAAGCTGCGCCAGTGCCCCCTCTGCTGCACCTCGAGGAGCGACCGCGCTCGAACGAGACGATCGTGGCTGGCGCCCCCGCGCCGCAGCGCGTAGAGGCTCGGCTCGACGCAAGAGACCTGCGCCTGCTGCACGGCCAGCGCGAAGGACCGGTACAACTGCCTCGAGCTGACGTCGAAGAGGCGCCCCCCGCGGGCGCGCCCCGCCTTCAGCGCCTGCAGCAGCGGAATGAGCGGGCGGTGGCGGTCCAAGTCGAGGAGCACGCTCAGGTCGAACTCCTGGGTCTTGGACGGTCGTTCCAGCTCCTCCACGCGAACGCAGAAGCCCCAAAACGCGCCTTGGCCGCGCGACGTCGTCGGCGGCACCAGCTGCCCCACCGTCAGGCTGAGGAGCTCCGAGGGGCGCATGTAGGTCTCGAACATGACGATGATGGCCAGGGCGCCCACCGGACACTCGGGCAGCATTGCCCACGCCGAGGCCAGCACGACACCCCAGGGCAATGGCGGGCGGCTGTGCCCCGGGTCCAGCTGGCGCCAGCCCAGCATGGCCGCGTGCGCGTTGGGGAAGACCTGGCGCAGCGGGCCGCCCAGCATAGGCTGAGCCCACATCACGGCGGCCAGCAGCCGAGAGGCCAGCGCCCGCGACCACCCCTCGCCCCGCGCCCACTCCACGAAGTCGAGGAGCTGGAGGTCCCACTGCGGGCCCGACCAAGCGGGCAGCGGCCTCTGATTCAGGTAGCCAGCCAGCTGCTCCAGCACGTCGCAATAGCCCGCCTGCGTCGCCGGGCGGATCCGCTCCTGCTGGAGGCCGGTCAACAGCGGGGCCAGCAGCAGCAGCCGCGCCCGCGTCGCCGCCCGGAGGCGATCCAGGCGGCCCGAGCCCCGGCGGCCCACAGGGCCAGAGGGGGTTGAGCGGGCAACCCGCCGTGCGCCACCAGGACGGATGGGCAGGCAGACCCCAGGGGCGCTCGGCCCAGCGCGACCGCTGCTCGCGCGGCCGCGGCCCGTCAGCGCGCCGACAGAACGGCTGCTGGAGCAGCCCGGGCCCGCATCGGCCACGTCGTCGGAGCCGGACAGGGCCGCAAGCGCCAACTGCGCTGGAGGCAGGCAGGCGGTGCTGGACATGGACTGCCACTTTCGCTTGGCCCCCATGCCGAGGCTGGTGAACTCGGCTCGCAGCGTCCAGGGCGTTGAGCTCCGAGGGGGCCCAGCGGTCGTGAAGCTTGAGCCCGACGGCGAGAGCCAGGGCAGACGAAAGCCGGCACTGAAAATTCATGGCCGGCGTCGACGACCTGCCCTTCGCGTGAGCACAAATCACCGACATGTTATCGCCCAGAAGCAGCACACGGGTGTTATGAAGGCTACAATCTCGAGCAATATGTCGCACCGTCCAGGTCCTGGCCCGGACCTCGACATGGACCTGGGACCCCGGGACGCCCCTCCAGCGGCCCGCGTAGGCCACAGTCCAGCTCCGCTCGACCAGGGCCGCCGGGACCTCAGCGAACGAGCGGGCCCGCCCAAGCCCCAAGATGTTAACCTCCGAAGCCTCCGAGATCTCCAGCTCCTCCTGGTGGCCCAGAGCCCGGGATCGCGGCGCCTCTGAGCTACTGAGAAGACCCCGAAAGCGTGCACGCTCACGAACGCGGCCCACAGCGGCAACCTCACTAGTCTCCCAGCGCGTCGATCCAACTCCAAATCCCCAGCACGACGCGTGGTAGCCGAAGACTCGACTCGACCACGGGCGACGCATCGAGGCACGAGCCAAGGGCAGAAGAGCACGTATCCACCGAACTTCGCGATGAACAGATGGCCAGAGGGGCTGACGGCGAGCGTAACTCTCGTGGATGAACACATAGACCTTTTCCATGAGGCACAAGAGCTCGGGGGAAAGCGAAAACAGAGCCGTGACGTGGCCCACGAAACGCTCCAGCTCCTGCCCTGCGATAGCAGGTCGAACCTCTAGAAGATAATCGGCGGCCAGTTTCAACCTCCAGAACCGACTAGCTTTAGGACGCCACTCCCCAGACGAGCCCACCAAAGTGAAACCTATGAAGTCATTGTCCCCCGCCTCTGAGGTCTCCAAGGTCGACGCGATCCCAAGGCCCGCGAGCTGAGACTGCATACTCTCGACGTCCGAGGTGGCAACCGACTTAGACTGGGCAATGCTAACAAAGTTGTCGATATAAAGTCCGCGGAGCGACCCAACGTCGCCAAGAGGCGGGAGCGGTACCTTATCAAGGAGCCACGGGGCCTCGGGGAAAACTTTATCGAGCTGATACTGGTTGGCGGCCTGTACAAGAGCCACGGCCCAAGTCCAACCCATCGGCACCACCCGAGCCCGCACGCGGGCCCAGCTCCGATTACGAGCCGCATCCGGGAGCGCGGCGACGAGGTCCGGGGACAGGTGCGCAATGGGAAGGGAGGGCAGGCCGAAAAAACACCTGTACTGTTCAGGAAGTGTGAACTGGTAGTAGCAGACTTCGACATCGCCCCCGTGCAACACGGGGATCACATCAGGCTCGCATTCAAGATGAGCGAGAGCCTCACCAGAGGGCAATACCACACCAGGAGGCTCGCGGAACCGAAGGTTAGGCACACGAGTGTCCCAAATCAGGCGAAGTGCACCTGACTTTTTTCGCACGAAAAACAAGCCACTTTCTTCGAGTACATCATCGCTGACTTCCACAACGCCAGCGGCCCAGAGCTCAGAAACGAACTCTCCAAAAAGTTCGGGGCGGTCCCGAAGGACGGGATCAAGGAAGAGGCTGCCATCAAAACTGGAACGACGAGCGGCAGCCTCCTCCTCAGAAAGTAGGATTGACCGATCTTCAAGCGCAGACTGCAGGGCGGGCGGCAGGCACTCACTCAGCGCAACTCGCCCAGAAAGCCCCGCGGGAAGCGACACGTTCCCTCGCTCGAACTTCGCCCGAGCACCGACGGCCATCGCGTCATCCGCGTAGCCGGGCCGCGTACCCTGGAGCGCCTCCCACGCTCCCAGGGCGCTCCCGCAGTCAGGCGGGGGAGCGACGACTGATCCGCACTGCCGAGCAAGGTGTCGAACGGCCGAGACCTGAGCCGAAGTCAAGGACGAGGGCGAGGCCGCCAGCGGCTCCGGGGCGCCTAGCTCGTTCAAGGCGCGGATGCCCTCGAAAAGCCAGCCCTCCTGAGCGCGTCGACGTCGAAGCCGCCGCCGCTGGCTCTGGGACAAGCCCAGCCCGCTGGCACCCCCAGCACAGACCTCCGAGGCGGCCGCCAGGGAGATCGGCAGAACGTCGCGCTGCCTCATCTGCTACGAAGCTGAAAGCACCTCAGGGTGGCACCACCTGCCAGCCCTGAACCCCTCACGACAGCCTTCGAGGAGGCGGGGCAGACCCCCCCGTGGCGGCACAAATCAGATGGAAGCAGGCCCTTAGGCCTTCTCCTTGGGACCTTTGGGCTTCTTCTTTGGATCAGCCGACGTCGGTCCCGTACCTTCTCGTTTGGCCAGCGCGGCCTCCTCACGCGCCTTGCGGCGCTCCTTCAGCACGGCGGCGCGGGCCGCCAGCTCCTTCGCCACGTAGTCCTCCAGCTCAGGCATGACGATGGCGCTGCTCCTCAGATTCTTCACGCCGAGGAACAGCGAGCGCTCGCTCAGCCAGTCGTCGCCGCCCGAGCCGCCCGTGTCCACCTCTCGCAGCAGATCCTTGTAGGCGCTCTCCCACATCTGATAACGCCGGCTCAGGAGCTCGAACGTTGCCAAATTGCTGACCTGCATCTGATCGATCGCCATGCCGACCTCTAGGAGCTGGGACAACAGCAAGTGCTCGTCCACGCCGACGTCCGTCGCCGACAGCCCCATCACCGAGCGCCACCAGTAGTGCCGCTGTACCGGGCTGTGGCTGCCTTCGTAGATCCGCTCCGCCGTGTAGTACGTCGAGCGCGGACCCTCGATCTCCCAGCTCTTGCCGAAGTCCACGGGCTTCATGTCCTGCAGCGCGCTCGCGAAGGAGCGGCGATAGCGCTGCTGTGCGTCCTGCCTAGCCGGCAGGATGCGGGAGTCGTCTTCGCTCCCCGCAGCAGGGCCCGATGGCACCGTGCCCTCAAGCCCTCCGCTCAGAACTGTGCCGTCCGTCAGCTTGAAGATACACCGATCGTTAGACTCGAACTCGACTGACCCCAGCGAAGCGGTGAGGGCATCACCAAGCCCCACACTGCCCCGAGCCTCCAGCGCGCACCACTTCGCGGCGGGCCCGGCACCCGCGCCCGCCGCGATCGGCACAGCCGCAGGGACCACAGCCCCGCCGGGACGCAAGCCCCGCGCGAGAGCCTCTCCCGTGTCCATGTAGTACTGCCTGTCCTGGCCGAAGCGGTAGTGGTCGACCAGGTAGTGAGGGAGGACGCGCACCGTCGCGGGCGCCTGCCCGTTGGCCAGGAACCGCTTCAGGTCGTCGGCCTCGGCGAAGTCCTCCTCGAAGATGTCCCAGTCCCGAGAGACGACGACCCACTTGGCGTCACTGATGTGTCCTAGCAAGATCCGTTCATGCCATTCCACCGCCGCCCCGCCCGCGTCCTGATAGTAGCAGACGAGGACCCGATCGCCGGGCTTGGCCGACCCCTGGAGCCATGCTAGAGTCGCCATCTTCCTCGATGATGGACACGAGCGTGTCGTCCACAACCGGCGGCGTGCTCAAACTGCGGCGTCCGAAGCTGCAGCCGATCAGCAGGCCAAGCGTGAGGGCGATGACCGAGAAGAACGCCAGCAGCCCAAGCAAGGCCGTGAGTCCGATCCCCGAGGCGGCCTCCGAGTGGCAGTGACAGTCGCACTGGCAAACGCACTGGTTCGAGCGACCGACCAGATCCGCCAGGAGACGGCACTCTCCGCTGACAGGCTCGGCGGCAAGCAGAGCCTCAGGCACCTCGCAGGTGCACTCGACTGGCGCAGGCCACAAGAGTGTACGCAGGAAGGCAAACTCTCGGAGTGCGGAGAAGCCGAAGAGGAAAGCTTCCATATGGTTCTGATCTGAACCAAAAAAACTGCAGAGCGGAAAACGGATGACGAGGTCAGGTCATTTCCGTGGGGCACAAACATCATCATCATCATCATCATGATCAGCATCATCATCATCATCATCATCATCATCATCATCATCATCATCATCAGCATCATCATCATCATCAGCATCATCATCATCAGCAGCAGCATCATCATTATCATCATCATCATCAGCAGCAGCAGAATCATCATCAGAAGCAGCATCAACATCATCATCATCAGCAGCAGCAGCATCATCGTCATCAACATCATCATCAGCAGCATCATCATCATCAGCAGAATCATCATCAGCAGCAGCATCAGCATCATCAGCAGCAGCATCATCACCACCACCACCACCATCGTCATCAGAATCATCATCATCATCATCATCATCATCAGTGACAGCATCATCATCAGCATCACCGTCATGATCAACATCAGCATCAGCATCAGCATCATCATCATCATCAGCATCAGCATCATCAACAACAGTATCAGCATCATCATCTGCATCCTCAACAGCATCATCATCGTTATCATCAGCGGCATCTTCTTCATATGCATCTTCGTCTTCATCATCATCGTCAGCAGCATCAGCATCAGCATCAGCATCATCATCATCATCAGCAGCATCATCATCAGCATCATCAGCATCATCATCGTAATTATCATCACCATCCTAATCCTCATCCTCATTATTATCATCATCAACAGCAGCATTAGTGTAGTGTCAGCATCAGCACCACCATCAGCATCATCATAATCAGCAGCAGCATCATCGTCATCGTCATCGGCATCATCAGAATCATCATCAGCAGCAGCATCATCACCCTTATCATCATCATCATCATCATCATCAGCAGCAGCAGCAGCACCAACAACAACAACGACAGCATCATCATATCCGTCTTCGTCCTCGCCTTCGTCATCGTCGAACCATCAGCATCATAATCATCAACATCATCATCAGCAGCAGCATCACCATCCTCATAATCGCCGTCAACTTTAATATCACCATCATCACCATCAGCATCATCAGCATTATCAGAATCGTCATCATCACCATCACCAGCATCACTACCATGACAATGACCATGACCATCACCATCACCATCACCATCAACAACACCATCATCAACAACACCAGTCTAGGGTTCTGGTAGTGAGTTTTGGCGATGTTACATTTTTTCACAACGTGCACGGCTTCTTCTCTTCTCTCCACAATGTTTTGCAACGTTGGATCTCACGGGAGGGGGGAGGGACCCGAGAGGAAGAAGTGGCACCGGCCACAGCCACCTCGGGGCTGGAGGCCGCAGCGGGAAAGGCAAGGCAGAGTCTCGCGCACTGTGCGCAATTCCTGGCCAAGCTGGCGCAGGGCGGATGCGCTTCATGTCGGCACACCCCTCGCACGCCTCTTGGCCTCACAAGGGGCTCCACCGAAGGCCCCTGTGGGCGCGCGCGCATGGCGGCGCCGCCTCATCTCGGCACGCACCCATAACACGCTCCGTGACCCCATGCAGGGGGGGCTCTACCAAAGGCTATTGTTGGCACGACCACGACGACGGCGGCGGCGGCGGCGGCGACAACGACGACGACGACGACGACGACGACGACGACGACGACGACGACGACGACGACGACGACGACGACGACGACGGCTGCGGCTGCGGCGACGGCGACGAAGACGACGACCACAACGACGGCGACGACGGCGACGACGACGACGACCCGCTCTCCCCCCGCACGGACCCCGGAGGCGTTGGCCCCTGCCCAGCCGCCGCTTGCCGCGGCGCGCGAGCGGCAGGCCAGCTGGCCGCGCCGCCAGGGGCGGGCACGCCCGCCTCGGAGACGCCCGCGCGCTCCTCGGCCACCTGATGGGCCGCTTCCCCGGGCGATCCCCGGCCGAGCGGCCGAGCGCGGCCGGGCCGTGCAGAGGCGGGTGCGAGAGCCAGGCAGGGAAGGAGCGGGCCCCGTGGGCGAGAGGAGGAGGAGGAGGAGGAGGAGGAGGAGGAGGAGGAGGAGGAGGAGGAGGAGGAGGAGGAGGAGGAGGAGGAGGAGGAGGGAGGAGGAGGAGGAGGAGGAGGAGGAGGAGGGAGGAGGAGGAGAGGAGGAGGAGGAGGAGGAGGAGGAGGAGGAGGAGGAGGAGGAGGAGAGGAGGAGGAGGAGGAGAGAGGGGGAGGAGGAGGAGGAGGAGGAGAAGGAGGAGAAGGAGGAGGAGTCCGTCGCCATTCTGGCTCGAGGCCGCCGCCTGCGGGGACCCACCCCGCCGCGCTCGGTGGGGGGTCGCCGGCCCCCCGGCGTGCGGCGACCAGCGCGGCGCCCGGCCCAGCGACGGCGGCCGCGGAGAGCCCGCGGCCAAGACGGGGGGCTGCCCACCTCTCGGGCGGCTCGGCAGCTCCCCGAGGGCCCGGGAGGCCGCCGCCCTCGGCGCCACCGCGGCCCGCCGCGCCGCGCCGGCGCCTGGCGCCTGGCAGCGCTGGCTGCTGCACTCAGGACCGACGCCAGCACCCACTCCAGCACTCCAGCACCCACGCCGACGCCAGCACCAGCAGTGACGTCGGCCTCAACACGGGTCAGCTGCGGCTGAAGCCACGACTACGGCCACGACTGCAATCACGACCAGCACCAATACAACCACCACGACTACGACCAGCAGTACCACCACATAAACTGTGACCAGCAGAGCTGCAACCAGGACTTCCTCACACTGCCGCCCATCATCCCGATCAGCCTCGAGTACGGCCACGACTGGAAGGAGTACGTGAAGGAGGGGGTCTACAGGACGTCATCGCAGAGAATGAACCACCTGGAGGAGGGGGAGGAGGACAAGGACCTCGTCGCGGAGGAGGCACTGGACCACCTGCAGGAAAGGGAGCAGGACAGGGTACCCAGCTCCAGGAACCTGCAGGTCGACGTCGTGGTGGACGAGGTCGCCGTCGTGGAGGAAGTGCTCGTCGGGGAGGCGGTGACGGAGACGGCGGACTCGTGGGGGTTGTCGTCGTGGAGTCGGCGTCGTCGATGGCAAAGATGGCGGCAGCGGCGGCTGGGGCGGCGGTGGCGGCACCGACATCCACGTCAGCACCGACACCAGCACGGACTCCAGCACCCACGTCAGCATCGACACCAGCACCGCCCCCGCCGTCGACGCCAGCACCGACCCCAGAATCAACCCCAGCAGCAGCGCCAGCATCGAAGACGGCATCGGCTCCAGCACCAGAGCCAGCATCCACGTCACCACGAACGCCAGCATCGACTCCAGCATCGACGCTAGCACCAACAGCCACATCGACACCATCGCAACCAGCCCTCACATTAGCATCGACGTCAGCACTGACACAAACACTAACACCATCATCGAAATCAGAATCAACTACAACGTTTGCATGAGCATCGGCGCCAGCATCCGCGCCTGCATCGAGAACAGCATCAACAGCATCGACCCCAGCATCAGTGCCAGCATCGATCCCAGCATCAGTACCAGTTACTACTACTACTACTACTACTACTACTACTACTACTACTACAACTACTACTACTACTACTATTACTACTACTACTACTACTACTACTACTACGACTACTACGACTACTACGACGACTACTACTACTACTACTACTACTACGACTACTTCTACTAGAACTAAAACTACTACTACTACTACTACTACTACTACTACTACTACTACTACTACTACTACTACTACGACTACTTCTACGACTACTACTACTACTACTACTACTACTACTACTACTACTACTACTACTACTACTACTACGACTACTTCTACGACTACTACTACGACTACGACTACGTCTACGACTACTAC